CATCCATCCATCCATCCATCCATCCATCCATCCATCCATCCATCCATCCATCCCATCACTTTTCTTTCTTTTCACAACAATGACTAACAATTGCTTCTACAGTTGACATCCATTTAAAAACAATTTGTTCTTTTTCTTCTTCTAACGTTACCATTCATTAACACAGGTTATTCTCGTTAAACCGTGCCAAGCTTTCTGTTGTCGAGTACAATTGCAACACGTTGATCTACTTTTAATAGGTTTGCAGAAAGCATTAATTACAAAAAAGTATCTTTGAGAGTACCAGCGCACAAGCTGGTGGAAGCGAACATGTAATCACTCTAAGCTCCTTAAGCTTCAGAGTCGGATCTTCATCAATTTTATCCTTAGCAATGAGGTTTTCTCTAAATCTATTCAGTTCTTATCGAAGCCTTTCACTTGGGGTTAGAATAATACATTATCTCAGCTGGACAAGACCTCATGCATCGGGTAAGGGTGTCTAATCTCTCAATAATTCAATATCATGCTAACAGTTCAATGGGTTCCATGTCAATCTTCTTGACACTTGAATGGATTTCACGAGGAAACGTGAACAAATTCTTCCTGTATATAGATATATAGGGCCTTTCATTTCTTTTGAAACATGGTGCTGATAAACGTCTGAATTAGCCTCGAGAATTTGCGCACTGTTTTACCAAAAAACCGGAAACAATGAAGTGACGATAAATAACATTCATCTACTTTAGCGATAAAAATGCGTGATTAGTGAAGTCGAGTCAACAGAAACATCACCACTCGTTGAAATGTCTAATTGCTTTATCGATAGGTTTATTTATAACCTTATGTCATTATACGATTCCTTAGCGGTATGATAAATGCCTTCCGGACCTCTTTGTTTGGAATTATTCACATTCCCCTCAAAGCTATTCCGTTTCTGGCCTCGTTATGGGATTTAGTACCCAGTCTCTTCGATAAATTTGGACAGGGATACCGCCTTTGATAAAATATGGCAACAAGTACAGGAATACTGTGCTACTGTCAATATACAAAAGAAATAAAGATTTTAGAATTAAACTGATGCTTTATATTTTCTTTCAAATAATCACCTCAGTTTTAGTGATAATAGAAAACGCGCGTGCGTGCTGTGTGTAGTTATAAAGCATGCGGGGGTTGGTAGAACGCCAGAGAAGTGTTAGAGGAAGAAGCACGGCGTGAAGCGGAACACGAAAGAAGTGTAAGGAGAAGCTCAACGCGTAGCAGAGTGCTCCTCGAACTTTCTCGAGTGTTCTGCCAATCCCTAAAAATTCTTTATAACTCCACACAGCACAGCACAGCAAGCAAGTTTTTTTATTTCTTTCGCAAAATACAAATTACAATAACCGTTATTTTAGATAGAAATAACGCAACTGAAAGTGCGCGCGCGAACTGTGTGCTCTCATAAAGCACGCTGCGCTCTCAACCAATCATAACAAGAGATTTATAACAGTTAATTTGTAATGGATAGCCCAGCAGGATATTTGATGAGGTTACACGTTATGTCTATTTGTCTCATGTCTCAACAAATTCCTTAAAGAGTCTTGCGCAAGGTGCGCACAAGTATCCGCACGATGACGTTCGTTGCTGCGATCTTCGTTGGAACGTCGCGTGCCGCATTTTATAATTTGCGCGCTCTACCAATGAAATGATAAGGACCGCAATCTATTAAAAAACATTCTTATCATAAGAACAGAGTAGAAGGCGAGATCTTCGTTGAACGTCACGTG